AAGTAACCCTTGACAATACCTCTTTGGGTTTTGAAGAAATTTGGAACAAATTCACTTCATGGCTACCAAACTGGAATTGGCTAAAACAACTGTTTGTAGGAATTGTAGTTATCATCTGCATTTGTATATTAGCTTGTATTATGAATCAATGCTGGAGCTGTTGCAGTTGCTTATGGTTTAAAGTACACTTTAAATAATGAGACATTGGTCCTAATAACCAAGTCTCAAGAAAAAGGGGGAAATGATATCAGAGTTTTGAGATGTAACAGAACTAGTAGTGCTTGCAACAAAATGTACCATAGAAAATTACTGTGCTTCAATTTAAAGGAACCAGCCAAGCAAAGTAAAAAAAAAAAACAAAACCAAACAATAGAGAAAGGAACTTGTGATTAACAGAAGTAGCCAAGCAAGCAAAAGAGGGGTGTTATACAACCAGGTGTATTGTCTTAAAGGAGCTCATAAAGCAGTCACATAGAACTTTGGGGGCTCCAGACAGAAATGACCCCTGGAGACCCTCGGTGAAGCCCCTCAGAGACCTCATAAGGCTATGGATATATGCTAATTAGTGCTGGGAAACGTCATGAATATGTAACAGGATTGTGGGAAACAAAAATGAATAATCATGTGTATCCGTGCTTAATTAGACACTGTTTCTGTTGGTCTGTGTTTGGCCCAGCCACCTGTGGGAGTTTGTTCTTTTCCTGCCAAGTTGTGAGAAAACAGGCACTGATAAAGGAGAACTTCATCCTTGAAGGCAGCACTTTGCATAAACTAAAATTAATTGGCATCTCACTATTGGCTGATGGCCCTCCAAGGGCATTTGAAGGAGAAAGGGAAGAGGAGGGTGATGAAGTAAGCCCCCAGACTCATTTAGGGAAGACCCCCCAAGGTGTATCACGCAGGCGCAGGGAAATTCCAGTGCACACATGCATGCGCAGAATGGGTACCACTTACATAACCGGAGGAGGGACTGAAGGTCTCTAGCTGGGCAGTGATGGCCACACCGGCCCAGGTAGACATCACGGGCAAATTGGATAAAAACCGCAGGTGGCTTGTGCTTGGAGTTCTCAAGCTTCACACGAAGGACAACGTTACCTTTTGCGGGGACGCCCGCTATCTTGTGAGCCTGCCGACACTCCGAGGATGCAGCCTCTGCTCTGGGGAATTCTAGTCATTCTGGGGTCGGTAAGACAACCTCGTAAAACACACCTGCGTGAGTGGGGGTTTCACTGAGGTCTTACTTCTCTCCTTTCCTGTCTCTCAGTTTCTCGTTTTGTTGGCCACTTCTTTGTAATAAATATTGGGGTTTTTGAGGTTTCAACGGTGTTTTAGTTTCCTTTTCGGTATCCCTCCGAACCCTCCCTGGAACATCATGTAATGCAAACATATAAGCCATAGCTCAGATACCTCGGCATGCACTTTGGTGAAATGATTCCCAGTGCATCTGGTGTGCTGTAATAAAGAATGCCTGACTTCTAAAACTCACAAATTGAGGTTTCTTTTAAGAGCCGAAGTTTAGGCAACACACCAGTCAGGTATTTATGCACTGCAATGGGGGAATACTGCAGTATAGGAATCATGATTACATATGGTAGCCTTCCATGGTATCTCATACCACATGGAGTTGCCTGAACAATGGTGTGTGATCAAAAAATGGTTGAGCAGTGTTCTCTTTCAGTTTTCACTCCTTCTTCCTTTCATAGCCCTAATGATGGGCATCCAAATTTCACATATCTCTTATCAAGGATGTGAAATAAAGTGGAGAAGGTGCTCCAGGCTCCAGAGCTGAGGCCCCTGCAGCCCATGGTGAAGACCATGGTAGAGCAGGCTGCCCCCCTGCAGCCCATGGAGGACCATCGGGGTGCCGACACCCATTTGCAGTCCATGGAGGAGCCCATGCTGGAGCAGGTGGATGCATGAAGGAGACTGTGACCCCGTGGGAGGCCCAAGACGGAGCAGCGTCCTGCCGGAGACCTGCAACCCGTGGAGAGGGAAGCCCATGCTGCAGCAGGTTTTTCCTGGGTAGGACTTGTGGCCCCTGTGGGGGACCCACGCTGGTACAGCTCATTCGTGAAGGACTGCACCCCATGGAGAAGTGACCCACGGGACAGCAGTCTGTCTGTGGGATGGATTCATGCCAGAGAGGTCCGTGAAGGACTGTCTCCCATGGGAGGGACCCCACAGGAGCAGGGGAAGGACTCCTCTCCCTGAGCAGCCGCAGAAACAACAACTGACCGTAAACCCCATTCCCCATCCCTGTGCACCACCACCGCTGTTGGGGAGGAGGGAAAACATGGAGGAAGGAGGGGTGGGGGGAAGGTGTTTTTAAGATTATTTTACTTCTCACTCTTTTGCTCTGACCCTGTTAGTAATAAATTCAATTAATATCCCCACTCTGAGTCTGTTTTACTGGTGATCGTGACTAGTAAGTGACCTCTCCCAGCTGTTATCTCAACTCTTGCATCCTTCGCTGTTTTTTTTTTTTTTTCCTCTCCTCTGTCCAGTTGCAGAGGGGAGTGAGAGAGTGGCTGTAGTGAGTACCTGGCATCCAGCCAGGGTCAACCCACTACACCATCCCAGTTTAACCTTGATGAAATGGTATTGCTCTAAGCCTCCAATAAACTCTGGTAAGCATGAATTGCATGTTTTACTAGGATGTAACCTTAACTCTCAGTTGTATGGACCACACATAAATGCCACTGTCAACTTCTTCACTGTGGTTGGTGATTATGTTTTGTTGGGGCATTTTTATTTTTTCAAAAACATGTTCCAAACATACCTTTCCCAGAATCTCAAAGCCCTCCAACTCCAAGCCTTCACGTTCAGTAAAGATGCTGTTGTTTTTCTGACTGGTGCCAAGGCTTTTAGAACTTGTATGAGTTGTCAATAGCTAGCAGGAGAGCACAAGCACCAGAGCACAGTAGTCAGGTAAATAAGCAAAGGCCTGATCCACTGACCTCATTGCCCTTTTTCCGTGTCTCAGCCCTTTGCCACTCTGAAGACTGTGCCCATTTTGGGGAAGCTACCATGGGGTTTCCGTTCTGCTGCACCCAGAGGAGCAAAGATATCCAGCAGTGGCCCCCAATGCAAGCAACTGCACATGGCCTTGCCCCTGCACACTTCCAGAACATTACCGGTGGGGTGGGGGACAGCAGGCAGAAGATTGGCTTTACCTGTGGTTGCCCTCCACAGATTACTTAATCCAGTGTTGGCTTCCACCTAAAACCCTGGGAAACTGCACGGTCTCCTAAAAGGTGCTTTCAGGTAGGGCTTGCTTAGCTCCAAATCTGGGTATGAAGAGACTTTTGTTATGGGCATATCTGCAGCAACAGCATACATAGACAAGTAGCCTCCAACCCTGTCCCATCCTCCTCCTGGCAAGCATACTAAACCCTTCCCTGTTGGGAGTAATCTGGATGAGGATGAGGAGTTTAGAAGGTGGAAAGAAATGACTTCTGGCAACATAGGCCAGACAGCATCAGACATACAGGCTGTTAGATTGTGAGCTTTCTCTCTTGTGGGAGAGAGCAGGTTTCTCTGATTGGCCAAAGTTCAGTCAGAGGCAGTTAGTTTTCCCAATTAAGTACCTAGTAGTTATCTGAAGATGCATGTATCCCCCCTATTAAGTATATCAATCTCAAATCCTATCCAATGCCCTGTCCAAGTTTATATATACCTATCCCCTTTTTCCAGAACCTTCCTTATCTGCATATAAAAACCCTCCATTTTGTAAAATAAACTTAGATCAGCTTTAGCACCCACAGCTGGTGTCTCTGTGTGATTTGACCTCTGAGCTCAGCCGATACACCACCGGGCACAATGAGAGAAACTGCAGCTCAGCTGTGAACCTGCTGGTCCGAGAAGACCCCGAAACTCCAAACCGTGTTAGACGGCATCCATCGTGGCCTGACCTGTCGTTTTCTTAAATTAAGAAAAATTCTCAGTTCCACCAGGACTTCACGTTTGTTCAGAGAGGGACAAGTACCGGCGGTTCCACAATTCGCTTTCGGAAGATCAAGGGAGATTCTTCCTACCTGCTGGACAGGTGAGCGTTTTGTGGCATTTCCCACCCCTACCCCTCCTTTCAACCCCCCTCCTTTTAAAAACTCCATCTGGAAATTAACATCTCGAAAATGGGAGCCACATTAAATAAGCCAGAAAAAGAAATCTATAAGAAAATCAGAGCTCTGATCGAGTATGAAGGACATAAATTTGACAAAAAGTCCCTAAAAGCCTTGTCTCAGTGGCTCCAAATACATAAAGCTTTTGTCCCAGAGAACCTAGATTACGAAAACTGGGATAAAATCGGTCATCACCTTTGGAAGATAAGCCAGCGAGGTGATACCTTAGCAGCTGAGGGGTTAATGGCTTGGAGGCTTGTTTTAATGGTGTTAGAAAAAAACCGGCAGAAATCACAGCCACAAGAGCCACAAACAGCAAAACCCCCAGAAGCAGAGAACGCTTTGAAATCTGGTACCCCCCTCCCCTTCGCAAGGCACAGCCGACAGACCTGCCGACGAACGGGCTTCCCCCCCCCTCGTTCGCCCTGCTCAGCCAGGAGAGCAGCCGGAGAAGGATCGCCCTCTCCTCTGTCCCGCTGAGCCGGGACCGGCGCCGACATCAGAGCCCCCCCGAGCCGTGGACACGAACAAAGGCAGGAGCCGCGGCAGGAATGCAGATTTTCCCTCCCACTTCAGAGAGCTGGATAACAAATTATACTACGGCGAAAACGCCCCCCTCCCCCCAAGCCCCCTCGACCTCGGCAACGGTGTGACCCCCGCCCCAAGCCTTTCCCAACGAGGCATGCACGGCGGGACCCCGGCAGGGACCCCGGCAGGGACGGTGGGGGGAGAACAAAGGCTGGGGGGGTGCACCAGTGCCGCATGGCAGCCAAGATGGCAAAAGAGAGAACAAAGAACCAAGCAAACCGCGCGAAAACTTTTCCGAACTTTACCGGGGGAAGAACAGAGAGTGGGCGGTGACAGAGAAATTATACCCACCCCTTTACACGCCTCCCTCGTATGAGCTTGAAAACTCCTCCTTCATACGGGGAATGAGTAACTCAGCTCCAGAAGCTCCAGCCTTCTCACGTGACCCAGGGAGGACTCCCTCCGCCCCTCCGGCACATGACATCGACTGTCATGGCTGCGCCCATGAAATGCATACGGAACGAACTGCGTCGATGCGACCTATATATATTCCAGTCCCAGCTGCAATGCCTCTTACATCATCATGTGAAAAATTGAGGAACTGATTTTATTCCAAGCAAATTAAAATGAACAGAGGGTACTAACAAAAGAACTATTTCTGTATATTTACTAACTTATAGGCGTACCGTGGAGACTGTAAGGTGAAGGGTCCTATCTGGACCTCTCACCAGGGAATCTTTCGCGGCCGGGAACAGGGAACAAATTATGAATAAAAATGTATTCCTCTGTGCCATGTGGATACACAGAGAGACCCTCCATGCCTTGCAATGTGAGGATGATGCAAGACCCCCCTGTACGAGCCCAGGGGAGGTATGTTACCACCAGCCAAAAGATAACACCCACTTCCAAAGCAGAGAAATTACCTTTTAAGGCAACAAGCGGACAGTAAAATGAATATTCAACAACTGATATCAAAGGGTACAAAAAGCACGGTTTTCAAACAGCAGTGTGCTCTTTGCATGATTCAAGGGTGCACCCAACGCTGGAAATGGGTACCCAGCACTGCAATAAAAATCTCTTGCTATATTTCTTTGTCCTGCAGGTATTTTTGCCGTCTTCAAAATTCCAGAGAAAAAGTAACTTATAACAATCAGACATTTCTCAATATCAAACACTGTTTCCTAGCCTGCCTCAAATGCAGGTACAACTGCAAGCTAAATTCCAGCAGCCTGCCTCCAAAAAGCAGACCTCTACAGAGACACAGACAGAAACACCTACAGCTGCTTCGGGCACACAAACTGAAACAATAAAAAACAAAAACCAGACTACTCTTAAAAAGACAATTTCTGCATCTACTGAAAGCTTGAAAAGAACCCCTTCAGAGAAACAAGCACCGAGTTCTGCATCTATAAAGCAATCATATGCCATGATTTATCAGGGAATCAAAGAGCCATTTATTGATTTTGCCACCAGACTCAAAGATGCAATTACTAAACAGATAGAAGACCCTCACTCACAAGAAGTATTGTTTAACAGCTTAGTTATAGAAAAAGCGAGCAAAGACTACCAGAGAGTTCTAAGACCGCTCAAACAACCAACACTCCTTGAAATGATTGAGGCCTGCAGGAATGTTGGCTCTCGAGTAGAGAAGCAGAGACTCATGGCGTGTGCTACCACAGGCAAGTGTTTCACCTGTGGAGAATCAGGACATATAGAGAGGAAATGTCCCACATACAGACCACCACAACAACAGCTACCAGCCTATAACTGTCAGAGATGTGGAAAAGGCAGATATTGGACATCCGATTGCAGATCCAAATTTGATATAAACGATCAGCCACTGCCACCAAAATCACCCCAGTTTTCTAGACCACTAACACCGACACTGCCTAGAACAGCACCTAGGCCTAGAGTCTGTTTCTCCACACCCCCTCCACAAAGATGCTCGCAGTCTTTCAACCAGGGAAACTTGGCAGGGAGCATTGCGGGGAGCGCTCAGACACTAAATGCCCCTCAATGCCAGTGCCACCACTGGGTCCCGAGAACCCG